GGTCAACAAATACATGAAAACAGCCCAGACATCTGCACCAACCACGTGTGCCCTGTGCCCTTCATGTTCTCAACCCTCATGGCGACGGATGTGACCTTCAACTCTTCTAAACTCAGTTCAACCATGTGGACTCCATGCACATACTCTTCATTATGTTTGCGAATAAACGCGGGAAGACTTTGAAAGAAGGCGGCAGTTACTGAAACCAGATCGGTTAGACTACAGGTGTCTTGTCGTCGGCATGTCTTTTCCCGCTGCTACTTCTCGTTTAGAGCCACTCATATCGGCTATTGAATTGATACGGAGAAGCTACATTGGCCGTGCTACTAGCAGTAGCATTAATCAGTAATTAAATACTAATTCAGAACGAACGTATGTAAGGGATCGATGCTGGATCATCCAGCTTGGCATTAAATGATGATAAGTGTGAAGACTCTTCCTTTCCTCAGGAAGACACGGCGTCTCATCGATAACCTGTTTGGATAGATCGTGGATGTATGAGTGCGTTGAGGACTAAATTCTGGTCTCCAATCTAAAGCGAAACCCGTTTTGCGACTAAATGCTTGATTTGCCACCCATACGGAAGATCGCTTACCGTAATACAGAGTCGCAATACAGAGTCGTACACGTCAAGGACGATGGAAGGCGGTGGCACGTATTGCGTGATGAAACATCATGGAAGCCATTGGCTGTAGGTCTTACTGCAGAGGCGTTCATCAGTGTCGGAAAGATATCTCAAGCAAGTAGACACTGGAAGGAGAATATTCTGGAGAAGTAGTGAAAGTGCGACGCGGAGCTTTGATTTTATAGAAAGACCGATAAAGCCACCAGCCGGCATGGCGCACGGAGTTGTACAATCGTTCACTTGGTCAAAAAAAAAGACCCAGGCTACTCCAACCCAGCTGTAGAATCCCTTCGATATAAGTATGGTGTAATGAAGACATTATGTAAAGAACTTCCTGCGCAGGCAATGGAAGGTTGTTGTGTAATGTTCCTGAAGGCTACCATGGAGTCCTCGGAGTGCTGGTAACCAGTGCAACGTTTTCCAATTATATCACGCCGCTATCCATCGAACCTCATAAGCATGGTACGACCGAGCTTGAAGTAATGGATACACGGAACGATACACTACAGAAAGAGATGACGGGAGAGAAGAACTGGGGTATCACACAGTTGCCGAAAGTTGTTAAACGAGCATGATCAGGAAGTTGTCTCAAATGTAAGAGAACTGACTAGCCAATACAGGCATTGGAGCCAAAAAAATTCCATTTTGACCACCGAAGGAAAGCCAGGGTTGTGAACAGAAGCGACTGTTTTATACTCCAAAAGCCCGATGACAACGGTTGCCAAGACTCGCCGGGGAGCCAGTTGCAGCTTGAACATGCCCATCTCAGGGTGTGACTTAAAATAGAGAAGCTCTCAGGACGATGATAATCCGTGCAGGAAAAGCAATGATTGAGAATAGACGCCCGCAACGATGGGGACGCCAGAGATGAAAACGCTGTCGGATTCAATTTCGGTCTCGCCTCCGCCGGAGACACCGATGCACTCGCGGTCCAGCTGCCGGCATCCTAGAGGTCGCAAGGCTACGGTTTCGTAGAATAAACCCGAGATTGAGACGGATGAGAGGTGAGCAACGATAATGGGAGGAAAGACTTGCCAGAGCCTTGTCATCTTACCGAGATCTGAAAAGATGGATCGGTTCAATGGGGACATAATCTCTTGTTCTCAATTTGTTGAAACAACAAGCGTTGTATGCGGATGGATTTGTCGTGTTGGTCCGTAACTTACTATCCCGAATTCAAGCGTTTTTATCTTCCCACCGCAAGCCACAAAACGGCTGGCCAATATAAAATAAATAAGATCTTAGATGCTCGTCCAGTTCTCTGCTATGACCACAAACCACACCACTGGTCTTTGATAGAGGGCGTGTCATTGGACATGAATGGCGAAAGGTGCACGTGTGGTCCGCAACAGGCCCCATTCGCAGCCAACAGTTTACTTGACGGTGGGCTGGAATACACGTCGGGATAGTCAACAAGAGATGGTGATCAGAGACGACGACACAGCCGAGTGTACTCGAGCAACGTGCATTGGAGTGAACCAATCCAGTGCAAACGCATGTCATGGTGGCCAGAATCCAGAGTGGTAGTATCCTTCACCTTGATCCAATCAAGCCATTACTACTACCAACCATATTGCCGAGCATCACTCAGTCGCAGAAGAAAGCGTTTATAACATTTTTGAAAACCTCCCGTATCATTTGTGAAAGGCGGCCAGACCAGGTAAAACTCCCATAAGGCGTGGTCTGGATGCCTTGATGTGGCAGCCTAGCTTCAATCGCTGGATCGACCCGGCCCGGAGGGCATTTCGAAGTCATCCTACTCCGTCGTACTAAGAACCGGTCTCAAAATCGGTACATAAAAGGCTTGGAATATCTAGAAGTAAGAGGTCACAAATTGGATGCCGTCGGTGACCAATAGTTTTCATCAGATCAGGCTGTGCAGCCACAGCCAACATGACTGTCCGAAGTCCGCTGCTCTCCGCGTAGCTTCTTTGCTCGCTCGCTTGCTGAAGTCATTTAACAGTGCCGAATAAGAAGCAGAAAGAGCTAAACGGTGAAGGAGATGCGGGGAGTGCATCAGCAAGCCGGTCATCAGGACCTACCTCGCCGGGATGTCGCCCCCGCATGTTGGGTAGGTAGACTCACAGCGAGAACTATCGATTCATTCAGGGTTTCCATTGTGGTGTCTGTGTGGTTTGAGAGGAAAACTTGCTTGAATTTATACCAAAAGTCAAGCAACAAAGCGATTCTCTAAAGGTCAGCGGCTGTGGGCACAGCGGACTCAGCCAGCACGATAGCCTGCCAAAGAGCCGACTGCCGTCCAGAATTCGAAGAGCAATTGTAAGCAGTCTTCTAAGGGGTCCATAAACAGAGCCGGACAAAACCCTCTGCAGAGACATGCAAAAGTGATGCGGGGACGACACCATGCATCGACAGAGCCGCGGTGTACTCATGGAAATAGCCCGAAAACGACGAATGACGGGGAGAGAGTCGTTGTCTTCGGGCGTTGGTCCATGTAATGCACGTGAACAGGACCACGGAAACGCCTATTGGTATCTTGATTGCTGATAATTCAGCGCGGGAAAAGTATGCCTGGAAACAAAAGCCATTGTTGGCGTTGGGAAAACAGAGCCTTGCCGCCAAAGATCGATTTTATAAGATGCTTACAGCATACTGCTGTCGACAACGAGAGTAAACGGCCGCGCTCGTCAAGTTGTGAAAGGTTTTCGGGCGAGTACGCATCAGGGTAGGCAATAAATGTCGACACCCAATTCGTACCGATGGTAGGATGCGTGGTATTGGAAGAGCGTCAGTCACCACAAGTAAACAACTACAATAAATACCCCGGAAACAGCCAAACAAACAATCTACAACACATTTATATCGATGTTCTCGCTTGTCCAAGCCAGAGCCAAAGTCCAATAGAGATCTCCTCAAACGTAATGATCGTCGGCCCGGTTTGCAGGAGAGGGGATTATCTAGCGAAAGCTTCATTGGGACACAACCAACTCGTCGGGGTACGAATACGATGGGAGAGACTGCGACGAGAGACGAAGACCGCCGAGGTTTGGTCTTCCGAGCCTTTCGAGAGAGGCAAATCCTGGGAGGAAGAACAATAGGGTCCTAAGGTAGGCTATCTGCTTTTCCCCGCCGTAAGCGCCGGCATGAGCGTGAAATTTCTTTCTACAACTCAGCATTCCTGTCGATATGGGCTCGGTGATTTTACCAGACGCAGAGAGCTCAAGTCTGGCGAATGATGGCTCACGATGGGCCTCCGATTTCGTGCATGCATAGGGCAAAGAGGAAACGGGCAATTTATGGTACGCGAGGGGGTCTTGTTCCAGCGGTCGTGAGCTCAAAGGGCCGGATGAGCCGCAAGTTCATTGTGGCGCCAATGATCCATGCGAACGGTAGAGCTTCCTTCTGAAGAAGAGGGACGGGGACGGGGACGGGTTGCGTACACACCATTCTTTTGCATTCTGGTGGGGGCTTGGTAGTCTTCGAGCCGAGGGAGAAGTGCACGTTAGTTGGGAGGGAATGGGAATACGCTACAAGCCCACAGAGGCAAGAGACGCCAGACGAGGACGACAGCTGGCGTCCAACTTAGCCACCCACTGATTGGTCTCAAGTCTGGGATCGGACAGGTTGTAGCTTCTGGGTTCTAAGAGGGGGTGCTTCGGGATAGAGTGTAAAGCAGACCCGGAGGATTTGGCCTGGATAATCAATGTGAATGCATAATATCTGTTGAGTTCAGAGACTGATAGGGGGGAGGGCATCTGGGTCCCTGCAGCTCCCTCCCCTCCCCTGCCCCAGGCAGGGCAACAACAGCGCCAGTGATCCGTCGCCAAGGGAATGGCAGTCTGTCAACAGGAGACTCTGGCTTTAAGGCCCTTGTAGACTTGCTCCATCAAAGACCCCGATCTCTAACAGCGTTGCATCAGGTTAAAGATCTGACTCTGTTAGGTAGGCAACCCCCTTGACTACACGCAATGTATGCCGTACTTCTGGGGGGACAGCATTCAGCGCAAGGTTTCCCGAGACAGGACAACACCAGCTATTGTGCTGCAAAGTTTGCCGGAGGCAACATTGGTTTGGCATTTCTTCTAGCCAGCTGGAGGTTTCTCCACAAGCATAGCCGTATCGCATGGTTCATCGACATTTCGGAGGAACACCGACCTCAGCCACGATGAGATTTCGGCCGAGAATGGCCAATCACCCTTGCAGAAGGCGACGAGATATCCTGACCCGGAATCAACAAACCGCAGCCACTCCAGAGCAACCTGCTCGTATTGTACAAGCTTGTTGTCTTCTGTTGAGCAGGATCGAGCGGCATCGAAAAGTGCCAACCACTGAGGATCTAAGTTGTGGGCGTTGGAGCCGAAAGATCGTGTGACAAAGGCTTGGTGTTGTCGCAAGGCATGCGCTCGAGAGTGTCCTAAATCTCGATGCCTATGTCAGAATGTCTATGAACACATACTACATCCGCAGCCAATCCCGACAGAGCATGCTGAATGGCCCGGACATTGGGAGCGTTTGGCGGCGATTGGCAGCTGGCCAAGACACATGATGACATTTATGTTGCCGAAGTCGATCTGTTGATCGAATTGCTGTCTCGCCTCATCGATGACAACAAATGCCATTGTGACTGGAGGAGCCGTGGCAAGCGCCCGACGCGACGTCACCGCCAAATTGCCGGCCCGGCAGGAAGTCCAACTCTGGTTATCCCTAGCTCGCAATCGAGAATTCGACAAGTGCCCGCGCTTTGTACTCGAAAGCGCACCACTGAGAGATCGATTTTGGATTACCGGTCTTACCCGGCCGATCAACATGGCTGGGACGCGATCGATATGCAAGCGGGTCGCTGTGAGGCGTCGGGAGCATCAGGCGATTTGTATGCGACCGAACAACGAAGGGCTCGCCTAATGACGTGAGGAAAAAGAAATTATTGGCGAACCCTCTCAATTGGGGGCGTTGCATGCCAGGCACACGTTCTTACTTGCAGCGACGTTGGATCTAAGACCTGCAGCAGAAAAGTGTTCTGGTGGGGGCACCACGAGGATAGGAAAATTGTCGAGTACCGGAGATGAACATTCGCGTGACGTTCGTAAATTGAACGCATTGGGGGCGAAAGTAGAAGCGATTAGAACCCCCATGGCCGAGGAAAAACAAAGTGCGGTTGAATGGTCAAACATTGGTGTTTCTGGCGTCGGTCTAGAATCCCGATCCGGACGACGACAAATGTGGGACGGGAGGTTCGGGCCCGGTGGTGAGGACGGGTGTGACCGGTTTTGGGCGGGCCTAGAATGCCGGGGCGGAATGAGACGTGAACCAGCTCCTGCGGCCGGGCGGATTATACCGGTCGGCAGCACCCGATGGTGAGACTATTCTGAGCACACCTGGATCGACGATGAGGCTGATGGCTCTTCTGTAAACGATATACGATGCAAGAAGCTCGTTTTGGAAGACCCTTCAGCGCATTGGTGAGTAAGACTGGTCTTGTCTGTGCACAGAGCCAGGAGAAGAACGGGCGCCGATATCGATCTCGCAGCCGTGAGCCACGCATCGCGGGCAGGCAGTGTCAAAGTTGCTGTCGCATACAAACTTCTGGAATAAGAAACAATAACCACGTTGACGATGGTGAAACCCTTGACGACGGCGCACCAGCGGGAGTTCGCAGGATGGGGCGCGGCGGGGCGCCGTTTTGCTCATGAGCCAAGAACCAAGCCAGGTCACTTTGTGGTGGTTCTGTAGCATTGGTAACGAAGAGATTGCCGGTGCAGGATCCAGGATCCAGGGTTTGGAGCAAAGGTTGGGTGCACGGCAGACCAAACCAGCGGAACGGAGCGTGGCACAGCGTGGCAGACGCAAGCGGGGAGGCTGGCTGTCGATGAAGCCGTCTGAGCATCGAGCATGGTGCATGATGATCGAGCTCGGACATGGTTGTCATCGGCGGGTTCGGCTAATTCGGTGTGATGCTCGCCGCCCGGACCGGCGGTAAGTGGGCATGCTTACGAGAGTTGATCATAATTATGGCGCTGCTGGCTGGGGACGACAGCGCCAGCGAGCGAGGGATTTCTGGAGCTGTGATGCTGGCAGGTCGAGCTGTGAATGCAGATCGAAGTGGTGTAAGAGACTGCAGTGGCCAGGGGTTCGACGTCTAGCGGCGACCGTGTATGCCTCGGGTAAGGTAAGGTAATTGAAGGTGTTCCAAAATAAGGTAAGGCAGTTGCACAACCTTGCCAGGAATTGGTGTGAGGGGACTTTGCAGAGAGAGACGCGGGACAGCTAGTGACCCAGACTTGATGCTGGACAAGTTTCCGGAGCAGTCCTGGAATGACTCCTGGCGCACAATAGATCCAGCAACTCGGATCCAAAGCTTCAAGAGCGCCCGCAGACGCCCGCCCGACTCCGGGAAAAGAAGGCTCGACAGGTATCGAATATCGGCAGTGAATGCAGGGCGAATTCAAGTATGCTGCAGCCAGCAACCTAATGTATTTAGCCCGGTTGTGCCAGCGGAAAGACTGGAGCTAAAACCCTAGGCCAGCTGGAAAGTTGTCTGGTGCTGGCGAATGGCATTTCACCATTAAGCTGATGCAGGATGCAGAAGCAGCTGTAGGGTGCCAAGCTGTGTTCAGCTGTGCTTTCTTCTCCGGCGGCCCGTTTCGATTTCAGAGTCTCCCCGCTCGTCTCGTAGCGGCGTAGAGGCTGACTCGACGGCATTCCTTGTGCAGAGGGATAAGAGACTTCGGCAAAGGTTAGGTAGGCATGAGGGAATAGGTCGTCTGACTGCGCCGAAGATGTCTGCTGTCACCAGGCATTCTTCAATGAATCGGCCGAGTGGCTTCGTTCGCAGGCTAGGAACAGCAGTTGCCAGTTGGCATTGACCAGTCGCAGCGCACCCGCCAAATGAAATCCGGCCGGGAACAAAGCGCATCAACACATAAGTGTGAAAGAAGAAAGAGTGGCACTCGTAGGGCAGTCGGCGTAGTGGTGTCGATGATTCATCATTTGCTGAGGAAGCCGCAACGTGCCCCGAGCTCCTTCGCGACCTGCATGACAGACAGGGAAGGGAGGTTCAGTTGGCTTTGGGTCTGCTGCATTGCGCCGCGGGTGAAAAGCCTGACACGAGCATAATAATGGACGGAACAGCGGGGGCGGCAGGTGGATGAATGTTGGGATGTGATGGGAATCCTCGTCATGGGAGAGTGGTGAGTGTGAGCGTGAGTGTGAGTGAGATTGAGACGGTTTCCCATGCCTGCGATTGATACGAAGTGCTGATGACCAGTCGTGGCAAGGAGCAATCGTGGGTACCTACTTCCCATCTCCGAATTGGAAACCAACAATACACAGGAAGGAAGGATGTGCTGGCTTCTCCTTCTGTCTGTTGGTAATGGAAGGTAAGACGAGATGAGAGGTGACAAAGCAGCAGGCACTATCTTGCACAGCTCTTTCCGTGTGGAAGTGGAAGAGTTTGGCGGCGTCACAGTGGTCGGACTGGACCCCGCGGCAGGGCAGGGATCCGCTTTTCCAGACCCAGGTATCCGTTCAGGTGGACTCGATCTTGACGACCCCGGACTTTATCTCTGCATCATGGACGTCCACACGTCCCTTCTGCTCGATCTCTAGGTCATCTTTCCCATCCCGCCGCAATCGACAAGCCATCGACATTGCGTCCCCTCGCCCAGCCAAGCTGCAGCCTGCAACAATCCCCCTCGCATCCATGCTTTGTGCTGTGACTTTTCGATCAATCACATTGTGCGACTTCCAATGCACGCTGTTTCCTCTGTCCCTTGGTGCATCCTGCGCCGCCGTCCTTCAACCCCATGCCATGCCGACCTCCATGCTTTCCCCGACTGGCGCATGGCCTGGTCTGGTCCTCCATGTCCCATCATCACCCGTCATCTCTCCCTCTTTGCCTCATTGAGCAACGGCCGACTTGCCAAGCGTGCCAAATTTCCTGCCGAATCGCCTAACATGGCATTCCAAATCGAGGGGGTTCGAGTCTGTAGGGGCGCCGGAGTTGCCAGGGGTCTAGGCCCAAAGGGTTTAAGAAAATCTAAGGGTCCAATCCACCACACTCACACCCATGAGCCAACGGGGGATGGCCATGATTAAAACCAAATGGCGCATCGGCGAGCACTCCGCCGCCACAGATTGGCTCTTCGTCTTCGGCTCCTTTCTCTGCTCACTGCCTCCACCTGCAATTGTCGTCCCGTCACCTCGACATAACCGTCTTGACTTATCCTTTCACCAAGCAGCATAACCTACCTAGACTAAGTCAAGGTTATCCGGTTATAGTATCACTCGCAAAGGCACACGACACATTTCGAGTACATTGCCTTGCCATACTCGACGCCGTACGCCGCAGGTCCACTCCACATCTCGACGCCGCAAACCTTCTGGGTTGAGCTCTGTTGGCCGTGGACAGCTTGACCCTGCAAGAGAGTCCCATGAGTCCCAGTCAGAGTCCTCAGGAGGTGTCCATTTGAGATCAGGCTGCGTAAACGATTCCGCGCTTCTCCATTCGGGATACTCCCACATCCTGTGCCTCCTCTCTCGGCTTTCCCTAAAACTCTTTCTGTCCTGTTTGTCCTGTCCTGCGGAGAGAAGGACCCAAAAGCAAGCAAGTACATTACCACTCGATACAGACGATACAAAGACAACCGATCCTCCTGTCCTCCACACTTTCCCATCTCTTCCCGATCATCTAACCTAAAAATCGATGCCGTCGGCGCTTCCAGCCTCATCGTCCGACCGCCTAACAATCGCGGCAAGACCCCTGGATTGAGATTTAGCGGCAGCTGCGTCATTCCAATCGGGGCGAACCTAATCTCCCCTCCTGCTCCTGCTCCCGAAAGACGCCGGGTCCTGGTCTCCTCTTGCCCTAAGGAACCCTGCCCATCGTCGAAGGCACATCCTTACCCTCCCGTCCCTCGCCTACCTCCCCCCGGTTTTCCATCCGTGCCTGCAGTTCACCTCACTCCTCCCTACCTACCTACCTTACATACCTGACCTACCGCATCTGTTCCTCTGTTCCTCCTGTGGCGACTCAAAGACTAGTCTCCTTTCCAGCTGGCCGGGAACTAAAACAGATCTAACGGCTTCTCTTACGCCATGACTTTGGTCTAGATTTTGTGGTCATCATCACTCCAACAAAACCCACACCTGTCGCTTTCCATTGCCAGAGGCCACTTGTATTTCTCCCATTGTTCTTTCTCTACACCCCACCAACGCCTTCAACAACCCTATCACCGACCATACACGCGCAAAAGACCATCACCATCGTTCCCCGAGCATCATCGCTAGCAACATCTCGTTGGATAGACCTCACGAATCAACACACTTAGCAATAGCCCATCATGACGGCTACAAACATCCTCATCTATTTGCTCCGGCACGACCTTCGCATTGCGGACAATCCCATCCTCCACTATCTCGCAACCTCTTCTGATCATGGTTTCACCCATGTTCTTCCTGTGTACATTTTCCCAGCACACCAGATCGAAATCTCAGGATTCCTCCGCGACGGGAGCAAGTCAAAGTACCCAGAGGCACGCAGCGAGATTGCCAAATTCTGGAGATGCGGCCCTCACCGCACCAAGTTCATCGCCCAATCTGTGTGGAACCTGAAGGAGTCCCT